TTACTTGGATAATCATCGTAAATTTCGCATTAACTCGTAATGTCGACGATACTTTTCGCGCGTGCCGGCTTTCGTTGAAAGAGAAAGAGACAGAGTGAGAAAGAGAGTGGCGCGACGGGCTTCCTCCATGTAACCCGCCGTAACCACGTGCTTGAAAATCTTGTCGGTCGGATCGGCTCGAGCGTAAGTATCCGTAAGTATCCTCGAATCATCGTAAACGCGAAACCAGGGACGCTCGGACGTTCTGCTCCAGGACACCGGGATCCCTTTCCCTTTGTCGCCGTCAGTCGCCGTTAACGTGCTGAAATACGCTGACTGCTTTCAGAGCGCGCGATAAGGCGTCGAGAATATTCCGTCGCGTCCGAACAGAGGCATGCCGAAATGACGGAGTTCGTGGACGGCTGGTTCCTGGGTCATACCCTGGGCGAGGGTGCCTACGGCGAGTACGTCTTCCCATTTTCGTTCTTTGTTAAACCTATCGACGATCTACGCGCTTCCGCATTCTCCTACGGCAGATATTCGGTCGCGATTTTCGAGGTCCATTGTTCCTATTGTTCGGAACACGTTGTGATACTCGTGTCCGTTTCTACCAATATAATTTAAAATTTTAATCTCGATTTATGCAATTTACTTTTGCTGATTCTAAGAACAGGGTAAAAAATAAATTAAGCCAAGATTAAAGTTAATCTACATTGGTAGATTAATTTTAATCTTTGTTTAACTTAATTTTTATCCTTTTCTAATTTTAAACTGTAGAAAAAATGGAGTAAATTGAATCGCGATTAAAGTTAATTTATATTGATAGACTAATTTTAATTTCTGTTTAGCTTTATTTTTATTCTTTTTTAATTTTGAAAAAATTAAAGATAAAGAGTAAATTAAATTAAGATTAAAGCTAATCTGCATTGATAGAAGTGGATATCAATTAGTTACCAGTAACTACGTTTACACCGTGCATTTAGGTCGTGGCCTATACAATAGATGTCCTTGTTTATCCTGTAGGTTAAACAAAGACATCTATCATATAGGTCACAGTCTAAGCACACGGTGTAAATATAGCCAATATAAAATTTGTTTTGTTAATATCATACCACTTCTACTCACGATTTTTATAGACAAGTTCTCTTTTTATATGTGGGAAAAGGAACAATTATAGAAAATGGTATGTTATTGAGATTTTATAATATATTGTTGATATTTTTTGTGCAGGGTTAAACTAGTTGTAAACAAATCTACAGGCGAAGCTGTTGCTATGAAAATGATTGACATTGAGAAACATCCGGACGCGAGGCAAACAGTCCGCAAGGAAACTGCTATTCATCGTATGTTGTCAAACTCTAATATTATACAATATTTTGGAAAACGTAGCGAGCCTAATATGGAATATATATTTCTGGAGTATGCCTCGGGCGGAGAGCTATTTGATAGAATTGGTAAGATACGACTGGAGTTTGTAAAATAATACAGAAATATATAAAGCCCTTATCAGATTAAAGATTCAGATTAAATTGGAATTTACGCAATCAGAAGGAGGAAAGTCAATATTATGAAGTTATTAAGTCATTATGATGAACTTTTGCTTTCATTGGTTAAATTCCAATCTAATCTCAATCCTAATTTCTAATCTTAATCATGGTTCAAGAGAATTATAAAAAATAAGATTAAATTTCGTTACAGAACCTGATGTCGGTATGCCGATGTGGGGAACTCAGAAGTATTTCAGACAATTAATTTCTGGTGTAGAGTATCTACATAGTCGCGGAGTTGCGCATAGAGATCTCAAACCAGAGAATTTACTTTTAGATAATAATGATAATTTAAAGATAAGTGACTTCGGATTAGCGACGATATACCGTATGCAAGGTAAAGAACGTCTTTTGGAAAAGAAATGTGGTACTCTGCCTTATGTTGCACCAGAGGTGCTGGTAAGAGCGTATCACGCAGAACCTGCAGACATATGGTCTTGTGGAATTATTCTCGTGGCTTTGTTGGCTGGAGGTAAATGCCCCCTGTAAAAAAAACTGCATATATGAAATATAAAAAAATTATTGTTTCAATATCTTTGATAATCTTCATGTTAATTTTATGTATAAATATATGCTGTTAATTTATTAATTTTACTCCACATTGAAACTTGTAATTGTCAGTTGAAAACTGCAAACAAATTTCATATCATTCAAGTCAATGTGCCTTTGATTTGAAATTTATTGAAATATCTAATACTTAACTTACATTTCCCAGTTTTTAACTGGTCCATATCTGAAATATAGAACTGCCATGGGACCAACCCTTGGCAGAGTGTCCTGAATATATCGCATGGAAAAACGGAAAATGTATGTCTCTTACACCGTGGAAAAAATTGGACAATTCGTCATTATCATTAATAAGAAAGATCCTTATGGACTCGTCGTTGGCAAGATACAAAATGTCGGACATTAAGCAACATAGGTGGTTTGTCACGAGTTTTACCAAAGGTAAAACTGCATTTTGACTCGGTACTGTTAGAAAAATAGGTTCAATATCTAGCATAGGTATCCTGCATTTTTTTTATTAATATCCCTGGAAGTAACATTGGAGGCACCTGGATAGTGTTTACTTAGTCAGGTACTGAGTGACTCTGAGTATTAATAAAATTACTCAAAGGAACTCTGTACCTAATTTAGTGGATACTGCATACAACGAATTCTCATTGCTTTTCTATGTGAGTGCTTTATTAATATTAATTAGGATTAAGAAATATTATTTCACAACATAGATTTGGTAGTCAGCAGAGCTCTTGCCTTTTCTTTGGTAATACAGCTCTATGAGTTTAATTTAAGTATCATAAAGCTAGATTACCAAAGCAGAGAGCATTGGCATATACTTCTAAGATAACACATGTAAATTTCAACTGAGTTTTATGTAGAATAACATTGTAATAATTAAGTTGAATGTGATAAGTAGGCTATATTTTTTGTGCAAAATCTTGTATTTCAATAAGTATTATGTTTTGCACATGAGATACAGATATGAATGAAGTATTTATAATTTACAGGTGACGAAACAGACGGACGGAATTATCGGATAGAGGATGAAAATCTAAGAAATGTTTGTTTGTCTCAACCCGAATTCCCTGGGATGGAAAGTAATGATGCAATTCAATTCAATTTGGACAGACGTCCAACGTTTTCATTTTCTCAACCCGCTCATGTGGAAGATCTTTTATTGGGTACACAGTTACAATTTACACAACCCAGTCAGGTATTTCTTTACTAAATGGACTTTGAATTAATTTATCGTTACGTTGAGAAATTACTTTTATAATTTTATGTTCTGTTTGCAGCAAAATCCCTTCCAAAGATTAGTTCGCCGAATGACTAGATTCTTTGTTAAAATTGAATGCGAAGAAATTGTAAAGAGGCTAATAAAATATTGCGAGAAAGAGAATTACGCTTATCGCAATAATGAGTCTGGCGTGGTAAGACATTATATGATACAGAAATAAGTTCAAAATAATATTGATGATGTTATATGTTTACAGATAACGATATCGACTGTAGATCGGCGTAAAATGTCTCTAGTTTTCAAAGTAAATTTTATGGAAATGGACGGAAATATATTAGTCGATTTCCGGTTGTCTAAAGGATGTGGTTTGGAATTCAAAAGAGCGTTCATTAAAATCAGATGCGCAATGGAAGATGTTATTCTGAAGAGCTCCGTAGTGTATTCGAAGAGCTAATAATGACAAACCCACAAATAATAACTATATATATATATAGAAATGTAATTTGTATTTTTTTAAATATATTTTTTTATAACATTTTTAAAATCGTTGATTCTCTGTGCTATATCTCTCTCTCTTATGTCTTTAAATAATTTTATAGTTAATGTATTAAAAGTCAATTTGTTTCTGCTTTAGTCAGATTTTTTATTGTTATGAGCATTATGAATTTTTAACGAAACGTCAAGCATTAACATTCGCTGATTCATTGAAAAGAGTGAATAAAATGATACTTGCATCGTTCAGTCAAAGTATTATGAATATGTTAGAAAATTCGCTAACTGCTAAAAATCTAAAGTATATATAATGTTATATTAAATACATTTTAATTTGGATAAATAAATTAGTTTAAGTAATAGCTTTGTGTAATTCATCAGTGATCTAAAGAGTTTCTATTGACTTATTACTATTCTTACTATTAATAAAAATAATGCTAGCAATATAATACTAGTAATTGAGCTATTTCTTTTTTATTTTTGTATTTATTTCATTATATATATATATATATATTATACTCTTGGAATTCCTCATGGTGGTGGAGTTCCTTCTACCATGGTCTTCACAGCCTTCATTACTGATGAAATAACTATAATATCTGAAGATAAAAAAAAAAGAAAAAGTAAATAAAAATTAAAAAAAATTATATATAAATATACGCATACAAAATTACGTTGTGTGCATTCCGTTTTCATGCTATAAGCATCATTTCATCCATGTTATCAAATATTAAACACGTATAGGCCAGAATCTATAGTCCATTCTTAAACTCAAGCTAGGTCTTAAGATGCTAATACGGCTCTCTGATTGGTTCATGATTAGCTTAAGACCATCTCGAATCTTGAGCACCGTCTATGGATTCCGCCCATAGTGTCGTAAGTGTTAATATGGAACGCACCATTATTAATTAATAATTAAAAAAAATCAAATTCATCGTGCAATTGGCATAATTGAACAAAAAAATTGATTATTATGTAACTCAGGGTCGATGTATTATCTTGAAATAAGATAAAAATGACAAAGGTGAGCAAATTAGAATACTTATAATTTCATTGGTCAACATCTAGTGAATTTATTCACTTTTGTAATTTTTAATTCAAGATACACAATTGACTGTTGATTCCCAATCTTGATAGCGCGACGTCTATGGAGGTTGTAACATCGCGCCGCAGCGCTACCTTTGCGCCAAGCTTGTAACTCGTATATGACGAGATTCGACGCCTGCGCACGCGGTCGTTGTAGCGACGCTGTGTCTGTTGGTGAGAGCAGCGACACTCCGCGGTCCTCGTTTAATTCCGTGCCCGAGCATTTTGTCAATTTCATCGAAATGGATCCAGTAAAAATGTCTATGCAGCCGCATAGCAGGAAACGCGTCTGTTACTATTACGATAGTGAGTTACCGAAGAAAATCCACCGCACTTTGTGATCCCGCGAAAAACGCCGCATGCACACATACACGCGTGGGGGGAAGCTTGTAAAATGTGTTTGCGCCGTTCGCGCTTACCGCCTCTATTTCGCGTTGTCTAATTCGACATCCGTTAACGTTTTGCCCCATCCACGACTTGTCAGCAACAAATCTGTCGAAGCACGATCTTCGTAGCGCGTTATATCATAATTTTCATACTTTCCGAAGTAGATAATACAGTTTTTGTAACGTTAAGACGATAGATTCTCAGCCGCGGCCACGTACGATCGTAGGCAAGCTTGGGCAAGAGTGTCGGCCATTGCTATATATATGTACAGTCACCGTATACTTGAGCACCTTTGACGTTATCGAATCAATATCTCCTACTACAAATAACAATTTTATAATGTACCCCTGACGACTGTGGCTGATAATCGAAGAATTTAGTTCGATATATAGCCTAATCGACTTTCTGTAGAAATTGATTCATACAATAAAACTTGGACGTTCCACTAGTCACGAATTTTTAAATATATATTACCATATGTAGCGATAATTATTCACATTATGCTTCAAACTATAACTTTTCTTAGTCGCGAGACAAAGGTTTTGTCACGAAAGAAACGAAATTAGTAGCCTAAACCTCAGATAGCAATAGGTTAGGTTATGAGAAACATAGTGAGATTTTATGTGATTATTGACTAATACGAACCGCAAGAAATCATTTCTCGTATGTAGTTCACACTTGCCGAAGAAATTTCCCTCTGAAAATGATATTTCGGTAAACGGTGTAACAGCTGATACTGTTTTTGTGTCGTTAACGCGAGAGATTCTCAGGTGTGCTCCGACACATCGTAACCCGTCAGCCAACTCGCGTTGCTTGATGGGTCTATTTTTTTTTATTACTGCAGTAGACTATGTTAAAATTTCCTTTCTCGCTTTAGCCAAATATCAAAGATACGCCTATTTCACTTTAGTTCTACAAGTTTACAAAAATTTTACACTATACTAGTTTTATATTAGTTAAGCTATAGAAAATAGGCAATAATAGCCTTGTCACTGAAATTTGTGCACAGTTCTTTTTCAAAATAACATCTTATAATAGCCAAATATTTCATGTCTTGAATATCACATTGGTCCATTTATGCACGATTCTTTAATGCCTAGGTGATATTGGAAATTACTATTATGGCCAAGGACATCCTATGAAGCCACATCGCATAAGGATGACGCATAATTTACTTTTGAACTACGGACTTTACAGGAAGATGGAAATATATGTAAGTGCTTGTTTGCAGATTTTTAATCTTATAAAAAGCTAGAATGGTTGCCAAAAGTTTCCAGCCAATGAGTGATTTTATTGTATTTTTCAGATAAAGAATTTTTACAAATAAAGATCTAATATACAAGTATTTAATATATTTTAATATTTAATTTAATTGATACAAGAATTTTATTAACTTATGATATAAACTGAAAAACAAAGCGTAAAATTATGTTGACTGAAAACTTTTGACAGCCACTGTATATATTTGATTATGTTGAAGATAATGAAATATTATAATTTAATTATATATATATATATATATATATACTTTATCATTATTTTAGCGGCCTCATAAAGCCACGGCAGACGAGATGACGAAATTTCATAGTGACGAGTATATTAGATTTCTGAGGTCCATAAGGCCAGATAATATGTCGGAATATAACAAGCAAATGCAACGATGTAAGATATCATTATTGGATAAATTATAATACTGAATTCAAAAGCATTTATTGCACTTCTTTCTTTCTGCATTAGTTAATGTGGGAGAAGACTGCCCCGTTTTCGACGGCTTGTATGAGTTTTGTCAGTTATCAGCCGGTGGATCTGTAGCTGCTGCTGTAAAACTTAATAAGCAAGCTTCTGAAATCTGCATTAATTGGGGCGGCGGTTTACATCACGCAAAAAAGAGTGAAGCTTCTGGCTTTTGTTATGTAAATGACATTGTGCTTGGAATATTGGAATTGCTGAAGTATCATCAGAGAGTCTTGTATATCGATATTGATGTTCATCATGGCGACGGCGTAGAAGAAGCTTTTTATACAACGGATAGAGTAATGACTGTTTCGTTCCACAAGTACGGCGAATATTTTCCTGGAACAGGAGACCTTCGTGATATTGGGGCAGGCAAGGTAAAAAAATTTTGCTTTTTTTATTCACACAATGCATGTAAAATAATAAATCATTAAATAAATGTACATGGTTATTTCTTATTAACAGGGAAAATATTACGCGGTTAATATACCTTTGAGAGATGGTATGGACGACGATAGTTATGAGTCAATCTTTGTCCCTATTATCTCAAAAGTGATGGAAACATTTCAACCCTCTGCTGTTGTTCTACAGTGTGGGGCTGATTCATTGACTGGTAAGACTTTAAAAAGTAGTTATTATCACAATGAAATTGCAAAACTTTTCATGTAAATACTAATTATAGGCGATCGATTGGGATGTTTTAATTTAACTGTCAGAGGTCATGGTAAATGCGTGGAGTTTGTGAAAAAATATAATTTGCCTTTCTTGATGGTTGGAGGTGGTGGTTACACCATCAGAAATGTGTCCAGATGCTGGACATACGAAACGTCAGTTGCTCTCGGCTGCGAGATCGCTAATGAGCTTCCGTATAATGATTATTTTGAATATTTTGGCCCAGACTTCAAATTACATATTAGTCCATCGAACATGGCGAACCAAAACACTCCTGAATATCTAGACAAAATAAAGTAAGCATTCTCGCAATACTATGTTTAGTTTGGTATGAATATTGTAACAAGCTAATTCACAATTGCATTTATTTATAGAACGAGACTGTTCGAAAATTTAAGAATGCTACCTCACGCGCCTGGCGTACAAGTCCAGGCAATACCAGAGGATGGTGCAGTTATTGAGGACTCGGAAGCCGAAGAGAAGGTAAACCCAGACGACAGATTGCCTCAACGCGACCTAGATAAAAGAATGCAACATGAAAACGAATATAGCGATAGTGAAGACGAAGGTGAAGGCGGTCGAAGAGATAATAGATCATATAAGGTATCATCTTTATTCTACTAAAACGTAATGGTTATAATGCACAGGGCCAGCGATCTGTGTGGAGTGGTGAGTTCATTCACTCTACACATGTGAATTTGGCATGTGTTGAATTTCCACATATATCGAGCTACATTATCTAAGCTAAATTTTTAATGAATAATTTATTGGATTTTTTTTATTGACGATATCTCAATGAACAATGCTGCGCGCTCTGATTGGATCTTGGCGGAATCTCCTTTTCTCTGGACGATCAATCAAATATGACAAAGGACCCCATTTGATGTGGGGAGAGACGTGAATGCAATGCTTCAAAATAGTTTGAACAACCATAATTAATTTTTTTAAGGAAGAGGATAAATTGAAATAATAGATTTAGAAGAGCTTATGAATAAATCCATAAATAAAAAAAATAATATTCGATGAGTTTCCATTCGCAATAAATAAATAATTGAAAGAAACCAAATACGTATGTGTACTTTATTGATTTTTTATTTATTTATTATATATATAATATACAAAAAATTTATTATTTTTTAAATTTAATTTTAACTAAATGCCCCCGTACATTGCCCACTTCATACATATGAAAGATTTATTTCGTTGGCTCTGATGCATATAATTCTACAGATTTAGAAAAATATGGATGTATAAATATTCTTATTTTGTTGTCATGTTAATCTAGGGATCTAGAAAGCGACCCCGTTTGGAAAAAGGTCAAGAGGCCATGGATACTGACATAAAGAAAGAAGACGACATAAAGGCCGAACCAAAAGGTATTAAATCGTAAACATAAACATTTCTCTTTGTATCACATTTGCAATTAACGTTAGGGGAAAAATGTAATAATTATTTGAATTTTTTTTTTACTTAGAAAATGAGAAGGACGAAAAAGTAAACCCCACGAATGAGGAGACTAAGAAAGACGGCGGGGCGAATCCCTGATAGATAGTTGCCCCGGAGCATCTGAGAAAATGGAGAAACTCTTATTTAAATTAAGTAACAAATAAGTTTAAATAACTTAAATAATGGCAGCACATGCATGAATGTGTTATCTGCTGCCTCTACCTCGCGCGCGCCCTATAATACGAAATCATTATGTTTTTATCAAAAATCTTGAAAATGTTTAGACGTCTAGAAATATTGGATTCATTCGTGAAACGTCATTCTCATTGAAATTGACACGTATGAGCGTGTACATAGCTTATAATATATCCTGCAATTTTAACCATAGACCGTTAAGAGTTTCCGAAGTGTATCTCTGAGTGTTCTGAAATGTTTTTTTGGAAGGTGATTTGGAACTACCGCACAAAGATGATTAAAAATATATCATCGAAACAGCGTTTCGATCGATTCGTCAGAATTTTATAATCTGACCAATGATTCTTTTTATACATAACCGTTATAGCGCGTTACTTCAACTTGTAATTTAATTTTTCTACGAGAGATCATGAATAGGTCACGACTTTTCAAGATTTTATAAATACTCCAAGAAGTTTACAGAAATACACAAATATTCCACGATTGGGTCATAAAATATTGACGATCGATTTAGAATATCAACAAGATTACATTATACAGCCTGAATGTGTGCTGCAATCAAACTTATATATAAAATACATAAACATACATGCATTTTGTTAGCGCGATTGATATAATTTCGTACGTCTTCTTAACCATTCACAATTAATTGAATTTCTCAATAGAGACCACACTATACAGTCTATACTAAGGAAGGAATAGAATTATCCCTTAACCAATTGCTCTTAAAAATCATGCGTTGATAAGTTTGTTTGCTTCCCAAACAACACAAAGTCTAAAATTGTGACATAAGACGTCTTTAAGTTATCTTTTAGACGCAAAAAACATCTTATGGCGCGATTTCAGACACTTTGGTGTCTGGGTTCTTATTTTTGTACATAATATGCAAATTAATCTTGAAGGATGTTAATCCTTGCATGCAATAACAATATTGTAATCATAATGATGTTCTTTATAAAATTGTAAAATACGTCTTACATTACTCGAAAAATTAGCGAATGTTCCTTTGGCTACCCCTCTAGTTTTATTTGACGAATTGTAATGAATATTGTTAACTTGTTACACATTTTAGGAAGCGCAAAAGATATAAGAAATATTTGTAACTTGATAAAATTAAAAGTTTACATCTATTTCATTGTGTTGAATTTTCCAGGAAGAATTTGTTGCAAGTTAATTCTCACATCTTGAGACTAAATAAACTAGAGAGGTATCTGAGACCGTATTCATAGTTGTAGATCAATCTACGATTGATCTTCATTTTAGGCGAGCTAGGTTTGAACCAAAGTTTAATCCAATCGGATTTATGAAACACGTTTGAAAAGCGTTTTTCGAAGACTGATTTAAACCTAGCTCAAATCGGATCTCAGTTGAATCACGATCACGGCTATGAATACGACCCTAAGAAAGGAATGTAGATATTCTTCTCATATTTTTGAGTAATGTATACACAAGCAAAAAACAAAATGAGATTGGAAAGAAAGTGCGGTGAAGCTAGGGCAGTTAAGGTATTATGTAATCAATTTCAATTGTAATTGTAGAATCTTAAATGTATACTAGGCAAGATTTAACTTAATTTATATATAAATATATAAAAAATATAAAAATTATTCCATGACATCCGGATTGATCTCTATAAGAAGACCGCGATGTCATTCCAAAGATCGAGCTTATGGTCGATCTTGGTGCAACAAAAAAGTTATTATAAATTCTGTCTTCGAACCACATTCTTACATATTTCCAGATTTTCGTGTAAAAGCAATACAATCGTATGTACATAAAATTTATCCTCTTTTTTTTCTTTGCGATATCAGAGTATTCAATCGGTTAAATTAGCGACTGATTTTACTTATAATAATCTGTAATATGCGATTGCTTGACATCACATTATATATAAAGTCAAATTCAAAAAGATAATGGCGTTATGTCTCATGTAAGTCAATTCGAGATATAGATCAAGTATTAGATATTTATGTCCACGTATAAGAGTATTATATGGACGTTTTTAAATATTTATAATAAAAAATAAAGAAATCTATATATGTAGTTCTGAGACTTGAATGTTCTTGGAAACCTAGAAAGAACGTACGCTGAGGGGGGAGGAGAACCCTAAAGTTTTATTAAACTCTTCCCTGATGAAAATTTTTGTTAGAATTTTTCATATAATTTTTCAGAATTTCTGTATAACTTCACGATTTTTTTAGGAAATTTCTCAGATTTTTTTTATTTAATTCGAATATTTCAGAAGTGAGAAAGTCTATATTTTTTCTAAAAAAATTCTTCATATATGTATATATAAATTCTGAAACATTGTAAGATTTCTCATTTCAAATTTCTGAAGAGTTTATAAAATCTGAAAAAATTTTAGGTATTTTCTTCAGAAATTTTCATAAGTTTAAAATGTAACAATTCTTAAAAATATCACGAAACATGAAAATTCTTTTTACCAAACTTTCAAGAATAATTATGAATATAAATTAATTTGTTTTATATAATTAATACTAAAATGTTATTGTGTGAGTAAACCTTTATCCAAGCGCTCTTTTTGAATTCAATTTTTATTATTAAAATGTTGATAGCTTAAAATAACATTTAATACGTTTAACATTAAAATTCATTAAAATATAGTGTTGGTTTAGTAATTTATAATTGTAACATTTTACAACCTAGAAAGTAGAAAAAATGTAAAAAGATTCTCAATTATGTGGATGAATTTTCACCCAGAATATTAATATAACAAAAATAATATTTCAGGATTAAATACATTTCATAATAAATATTACTCCTATATGCGAGTCATGTGTTGTGCGTATCCTTATTAATATATGTTCTGTGTACGTATCATTGTCATTTCATGTCGAAGTCGAATGACGACGCATCCAATGCATTCAAGGTGGTGGTATCTAATGGTTCTAATGGTGCTACTAATAGTAGTCCTAAGAAACCGGCGTCTTGATTTTTCTGTGTCCGGTTTGTCACTAAAGTGTGACGTATAATTAATAGCAGAAAAATGAAAAGGATTTTTGAGCGACCAGCGCAAAATAATCCTTCGTGCGTAATAATTGTATCGACCAAGTTTAACCTCGTCGTCCACATTGGAATTGGAAGGAAAACTGATTAACGCCGCACAATTACTCGCATGTGAAATTGCGCGCTGAAGAACAGCGCGATGTTTTCTATTAGTAAGATATTTGTTTTGGTAACTTTTTGGAGCTGATGTGGATCTATTGGACTCATTCAATTAGATCCTTGATCTCTCCAGAGTTGACAGTGAGTCTATTGAACCTATACAATTATAAATCTCTTTGTCATTCTTTATGTTACAGTTACAAATTTGGATTATTCTTATTAAATTAAACTTAGTATTTATTTTTATTTATACTTACGAATTTTTGCCATTTGGTTTTCTGAAATCGACACAAATATCCTTCTTCGCTACTCAAAGAATGCTGAGAAAAATAGAACAACATTTGTGTTGACTTGTGTCACTAAATGGAAAGCACTTTGTGTTATTTGTATTTCTGACCTACAGTGAATCATAACATTCTTGTTGCTTGTATCCTATACAAAGATGAAGTGATCACTGTGTTACATTGTCTCTTATTGAAAAATACCATGTGTTGTGTATTTTGACATCTGCTCCAGAGGATTAATATCGAGCAACTTAATTTGTCATTAACAGGTCATTTTTTATTACAGAGATTCAATGAGATGTGAAAGTCAAAGGGACCTGTCGCACTGCGTCAAATAAGGAAAAATCACAACGCAGAAAACAGTCAGGCCAGATTTTCCAAATAATTCTCAAAATGATCTCCCAAATGTCGCATGTGATGACCCTCGCTAACAGCATCATAGGTGTGAGCGTTCTGGCGATGCCCTTTTGCTTTAAGCAATGTGGTATAGTACTGGCTGTTCTGGTGCTGCTTCTATGCAGCACCTTGTCTCGATTGGCCTGTTATTTTCTCGTCAAGTCAGCTGTGATATCGAGAAGACGCAACTTTGAGCTACTCGCCTTCCACGCGTTTGGCCACATGGGAAAGTTCCTGGCAGAATTATTCATTATTGGTTTTATGCTAGGCACATGCATTGCGTACTTTGTCGTTGTCGGCGATCTGGGGCCACAGATAATCTGCAAGATGATGAGCAAGAATCCAGCGGATATTCGCACTAGTTTGCTAATTTTCACTGGACTCTTCATAGTTTTACCCTTGGGATTGCTTCGAAACATTGACAGTCTGTCTAGCATTTGCACCGCTACCATTGTCTTTTATCTCTGTCTTGTATTAAAGGTATAATGCTTAAACTACAATTTCCATATCTTAGCTAATTATAAAACCATCATGTTCATCTAATGATGAATTCAGTTACTCGCATTGCACTAGATTAGTGTATATTAAAGTTACTTTATACAAAGTATCTAAAAGTAGTAGTATACGGCCATGTGTCCAAAATTATTAGTACTTTTACAAACTTCATAATTTTTACTACGTAGATTAAAATAAATATGATAAAGTTTGCTAACAGTTTTTTATTTGTTATATTAATAAATTATCAATAATATTTTATTACTCTTACCGTTTATTTTATAATTTCTACAATTCTTTTTGATAAACTCTCTATTAATTTTTTGCAAGTGAATTTTGATATTTGTCCCCATTCTTCCATAATTGCAATTTGTAAGTCTTGTTTTGTAGTATATTTTCGATTACGGATCTTTTTTTGTTCAATGAACTTATAAATATTATTGTATCTAATTATATCTTTGTGAAAGCCAATCTATGTAACATTAATCATATTTTTTAAACCATGGCATGTCATTTAATATAATTACGCAATAAATTAAAAAAAAATGCATCTCGATTAATTTTAAGAAATTAAAATGCTAATTAAGAAATTAAAAAACGCTAATTAACGGGGAGTCTAAAAAATTTTGTACATGGCTATAATCAATTTTGACACTGAAATAATATAAGTATACTCTATTAATAACATGACAATATTATTATTGAATGTTTAATCGTTTAAAATATTTATATGCGTTTACATTTAATTTTACTATAATTTCACATATAGTAGCTTTTAGTATGCACTAATCTAATGTAATGGAAGTGACTGAATTCGCTATAAGATACATAAGCACTAATTGATGTATATACTTTCTTTTCTAATTGACAGATTATGGGCGAATCAACCCTACATATTTTTATGGGAGATTGGTTTAACAATGTTAATTATTGGAGACCGGCCGGCATCCTCCAATGTCTGCCGATATTTTCTATGGCTCTTTTCTGTCAAACGCAGTTGTTTGAAATATACGAAACCATTCCGAATGTATCCTTAGAGAAAATGAACGACGTTGTAAGAGGAGCGTTAAATATATGTACACTTGTATATATGTGCGTTGGCTTGTTCGGTTACATTGCGTTCTGTACCCAATCGTTCACAGGTAATTCAACAGCTGTATAATATACAGCTTATAATATCATTATTTGGTCTGTTCAGCTGAACTTCTTACATCGTTTATCTTTCTTCCTTATCTTTCTTGAAGAAAAAAAGAAAAAAATGAATGCAAGAAGTTTAGCTGAAAAGAATAGACCTTTTATCAAATTAATACTTTACTATTGCTTTTATCATTATTATATTTTGCAGGAAATATTTTATTGAGTTTCGAACCTAGCATAACATCAGAATTGATTAAACTAGGATTCGTGTTTTCGGTTGCATTCAGTTTTCCTCTAGTCATATTTCCATGTCGTGCGAGCTTGAATTCTCTCTTATTTCGCCGGGTACGTATATATACTTCAAATAAATTTAAAGGCACAAATGCATACTGCTGGAATTCCTAATTCACATTTTACTGCTATGTTAGGTGTACACCCATGAACCGTCTGTCAATTATCTACCGGAGTTCAGGTTTCGATGTCTCACAATCGCGATAGTCAGCATTTCCCTGATCGTTGGTATTTTAGTACCGAACATAGAGTTCGTTCTTGGTATTGTGGGATCAACAATTGGTGTGATGATTTGTTTAATATTCCCGACAGTATTTTTTATCTCTATAAGCAGCAAAAATACTAATGAAAGACTTATAGCACAGGTAAAGCTTTTTCCTGTAAACTTCAGTTTCACGATTTTTTCCTATAACTTTTTATATAGTATATATTTTATATCTAGTGCATTTTAATCGTCGGTGTTTGGATCATGATCCTTGGTACATACGCCAATTTATATGCTATAGAGAAGTCTACAAGCACAAAGTTAGCGGTGACTAATAAGCCGCTCGCTCAAATCAATAATTTACCGTTAGAGATAATTAAAGATGATTTACATATCATTCCCAACATTCCTAATAGTCTGGAACTTATTCCTAGAGCGAAAGGTACAAAGTTATTTAAATTTATCTGTCACTTTTATTATTGTTAATTTTATATTACTTTCTTAAGTTTACGTTATATTACAGACAAAATTAATCAACTACCTGACATAAATGTCATCGACAAAACATTAGATCTGAAAGTGAAAGACGTTCGACAAGAACCACCAATACCTGTTGAACGTATGATCATCAGCGAAAAGCCAAATGTCGAAAAGCCTGTTAAGATGATAGCAGTAGGCTCTCTGGTGCCAGAAATAAAAAATATAGATGAAACAAAAAACGAAAATTTAAACGCACAAGCACAGGTTGCCATAAATATTGATAACACTAAAATTGATAAACCTGTTACTTTGAAAGCAGAAGAAAAGATAAAGATAATCGAGGAAAAAGAGCAATCGTTGGACTTACAGAAGAATGATAATCTCGTTTTGGACGCAATAAAGAAAGAGGAGTCAGAGTTGGCAGCTGATGGAGATATGGCTAATGCTAGAGCTGTAGAACGACATGAGCAACTTAGAAAAACATTGGAGAAACATAAATTGGAGCAACGTCAAATGATGCAGGAACAAAAGGAGATTCTGAAGGATATCAAGGAACAAAAGCAAGAATTCGAGAGGGAGAAACAGAGAATGGTGAAGGACGAGATACTAAAAAAGAACGAAAAGGTACAAATTGATGTAAAAGAAAATATTTTGCCAGAAAGTAAAAGTAATTTGATAGAAAACAGTAAAAAAGATGTAAAGAATAATGAGGTTATTATCGAAAAAAATAATGATAAAGAAGTTTTGAAAAAGAAGGATTGGAATAATGCAGACAAAATCAAATTAAGTGAAAAGCATGAAAAGCCTCGAGATGAGAATAATAATGTAGATATCGCAGTTGAAAATAGCAAAAAAAAATTAGATGTGTTTCGCGAAGTTTCTCAAAATAAGAATGTAGAAATATCACAAAAAATATCAGAAAATGCACCAGATAAATTTTCTCTTATTAAAGAGGTTGATCGTGAAACACCAGACAAATCATTACAAAAAGAAAAACAAGATAAGACAAAAGTAGAAAGAATAGAATTTAATGATTCCAAAAATATGAAGGGACCTATTTTGAACGCCTTGACAAAAGGAGTTCTACAAAGATCTGTTATGGAAGAGGAACTTGCTAAAAAGAATAATAATCGTCAGACGAAGGAAGAGAAGAGAGAGATTCTTATGAATGAAGTTGTAAACGCCTCGGACAAATTGCAAGAAAAGTACGATGAGAAATATTCTGTACCTATAGCATTGAAAATGATGAATCAATCAAAATTAGAGGTGATCGTTCCATCATTGAATAAGAGCGAACCGGAGATTCTCGTGATTCGTCGAGACATTCTGGAGAATAATGAACGTGAGAAAAGGGACATTGATGGAGAAGCAAATGTGAACGACACGAAAGTAGATAGCGATCATTTAACTGAGAAACCTGAATCTCTTATTAAAGACGCCAACGACGCAGACAGCAAGACCTGTTCGAAATTGCGGGAAAGTTTGAAGAAATCAGAGGCAGAGAAGGAATCTGAAAGTAAAATAATTAAATCGAGTACAACTGAAGTGCCTCTGATTAACACAAACCTTTATTTATCTGAACAAAGAATAATGAAGACGATTTCTATGGATCAACATGCTGCTCTGGATTCAAAGTATGCAGGTATGAACCAGGAAGACTCGAAAATTCTCAGTCCTAAAGATAAAACTGAGATATAAATATCTCAAAAGAATCGAATTAACGTAGCATAATATTAAGTAAATTTATAAGTCACTTTTTGCTTTTCGAGTTGCGCTGTGTCTCCTTATTTATAGTCATACAATTAAATTATTACTAAGTTTAAAATGTAATGGGAATTTCTATTCCCAGATGAATGCGTGTATCATGATATATTTATGATATTTGTATGTTGTATGATTGATAAAAATGATATATTTAATATAACTTATGTAATTGTATATATGTGATTTTTAATGTGACTGCTATGTATATTATCCAGTACACTACATTCTTCGTTCTACAGCGTAACAATTGTAAAAATAATGCAAATGTTAGTCTAAAGTATTTAATTAAGTATAGGACCAAATACAGATGTATTTTTACACAGCAATTCGAATCTTCTCTTGCAAATCATTTGACTCGCCAAGATATTTCCATTTTATTTTAATCTTTTTTTTTCTAATATTTTTTGAAACCTGTATCAGACTATATTAGAGACTGAAGATTGCGAATTGAAGAGAAGAATTCAACTGTCAGAACTAATCAAAATAAAAACGGGTTAAAGATGTATTACACATATTTTTTGTAACAAAATAAAAAAATTATAAAATAAAACTTTTTTCTGATTTGTATTTCAAAGTGATACAAAAAAGTAATACAAAAAAGTTTGACAGTGACTTAGAACTAGAACCTGAATAAAAAATTATTTTAATAAGAAGTAAATGTTTTTAAAAAATTTAAATGAGAAAATTTTCATATAAACTACAAAATTGTATTGTTAAATATGAATATTAATCTTATTGAACTATATTTCATGTATATAACATTCAATTTTATATGGAAAGTATAATTTCCAATTCAAGTCATTTTTTACAGACATATTATATATACCTGATATCACAACTGTAATGTTATCCAATTCGTCAAATTCTAATTTTCAATTCAATCTCTAAATTTCATTCTCAATTTCAAGTATGTAATCTGATACCGGGCTTCATATATTATAATTACATTATAATTACAAATATTAATATAATAACTTCGTTATTTGGACGCATTATGTATCTTTAATATCCATTGGTTCTGGTTTGGGTTCTGTAATTTCTATGTCTCTACATTTCGCGTGTTGTAATTCCCTCCTGATTTCAGGAGTGATCGAATGATGCAACTGTTTCCTCAGTAGTCCTAGCAAGGCCTCCTTTTGTTCAGAACTGATATCACTTTTGTATCGTTGCACAAATGTTAAGAGGGCCTGATGCCATAGTACTGGCAACTCTCTTGTGTCTCTTTCAAACCTAATAGATTATGTTTTGGATTATATATGGACATAGTTCTTAATAATTTTCGTTAAAATTTTATTGTTATTATATATCGTTCTCCTACTTCCAAAGTGGCACAATTAAAAAATATGATGTTTGAGATATTACTATGAATGAATTAAATAAACATTCTATCAATCATCCAAAGTGAACTAACTTAATTTCATAAAAAAAAATTCAAAATTGTGATTATTGAATATATGAATATATTTCTTTTTTGCCGATAGTAATTAATTAGTAAACAATTTTCTGTCAAGTAAAAAAAATAGTTCCTTCTTTTCTGAGAGAAACTTAATCTTGGAAATTGTGTCACTTTTTATGTAAGGGAGCAATATCTTACCTAAGAAAGTGAAACACTACTCCGTCCACTACTCTGTATGGAAGCGCATATTTCTTATCCAAGAAGATCCTGAGAAATACGCTGTTAGCACCCGTGTAATCCATCTCTGCGATTTTCAATATAGCTGCCGAGGAATGTAAAATTGGTATAGAATTGTTCGCGATCACAGATCCAATGATAGTGGCCTCTCTGAGCGTGCATGTTCCTGATTCTAAGAGCGGTAGAAGAATTCCCTTCATAAATCCGGCCGGTTTATACAATGCTTTTCTCAGCGCTTGATACAAATGGAAATTTAATCTTTTATATTCTGCTAAATCATCCCGAATGCGTGGTAGCAGGATCAGATTGTAGAATCTCTGGGCCATCTTTTCTTTCAAGTTTGAAGCAAATATCCTTGTCGCCTGATACATGGCAGCAGCGGACCACTTTGTTGGGTCTGTGATATAAAGTATTTGTTCCCAGTTCTTCAAGGTGGGCACAAGCTTGAAAGCCTTCGGTAGCTTGCCACTACGATACTTCGCCAGGACGTCTCTGACACCCTCATACATCGCCTTCACCCGTGGATCCAAATCCTGCAGTTGAATAGTTCCGGCGTCGGAGAACTGCGTTTCGATTTCTGTCTTTTTCTCTGTCAATTTTTCCATTATTATGTCTGCCAGCGTCCTCATGGGTGCTGCATCCTTCGACATAAACATCTGCAACGCCCGCTCATCGTCTTCATCAATTTTGATGTTCTCGTAATATACATCCTCCACTGATTCCCCATCATCACTAGATTGACCCTCATCGTCACTGAAACCGGAGCCAAGATTCACCTTTGATTTTGTACATTTCTTGAGGTTGCTAGGACCAATCTCATCTTCGATCTCCAGCTGCTGTTGTCTAGCTTGCGATAAGATTTTCTTCGTCAGAGTTGGTGCTATATACTAGATAATGAAATTGAAATTAAAAAATGTAAAAAAGTGAGATAAAAAATTTTCCAAAGAACTTAACTATCTCTATTCGATTTCAAACAATAGAGACAGCAGCATAAATTGTAATTAAAACAAAAAATATAAAAAAGATAAAATTTTGGTAATGCAGTCTAATGCCACCACTTCCAATTTTTCTGTATTTTTGTGTATTTTATTTATGCGTTTTCCAAAGAACTTAATTATCTCTATTTGATTTCAAAGAACAAAATGTAATAAGCAAATACAATGAATAAAGTAAATGTTGAAACTAACCTCTTCTTCGTCGGCCCGACGCCTGATCTTTTGCCGGTTTTTTACTTTCACCGCTTTCTCAAATTCTATTTGATCCGCCAAACCAATTTTCGGTTCTTTGGTTTCGCCTTTAGATACTTTGATCTTTTTCACTTTACCCATTTTTTTAAGCAATATCAAATTATATCTCTAATAGAATAATGACCAACAAAAACACGTGTATGTGTATGCATGAGGAATGTGAAGTTGGGGATTTAAAATAGGGATTGGTGATATAGTATATCGATATTCCTTAATATCGATATCTTGGACTTCGATATTTTCAATTATCGATGCTGAGCCTATATTGTATCGATATTCAATACAAAATTGAATATTTTTAATTGCAAATTGCTATTATTGGTAAACATATCAATTAAGGAATGTAAGGAAGTCCAGGTTCGAATTCTGGCTAAGGTAATATTTTTTGTAATAAATTTACACAGACTTTTTAAATATTTATTAGCGTCAGTATCATTAAATTGTTTGTTAATTTAATTTGCAATATTACTATCCTAGTTTTAGTTTAAGATTCAAGACCGAAAATTATTTAGGCGCATGTATATAGATTTACACCAAAATGTTATTTAAGCTCTAATTATATTTTAATCTAGATTCCTGACATAAATAAATAAAATTGCGATTTCTCTTCCTCCAGTTATTATTTACTTTATTTAAGTATATATTAAAATTAAAACAAAAATGTAATACTGCATTAGAACTTTTTCTCATCTGTGACCAGTTTCAATAAGCAATGAATCTAATAAAATCATTAAATTTTCAGTTATAAAAGGCTCATACACCCAAGCTGCAAGATGAAGCATCTTCCAAGATTCTGTACAATTGTGAGCAACATTTTCAAGTAATTTGCGTTTCAATTTGACTTCCATATGATATGCTTCATATATAGTTACTGCTACCTCACCTAAACATTTTGGAAGCATAATATTATAACATAGTTTTATTAAATAATTTAATTACATAATTAAAATATCAAAATATTATAAAATGTACAAATAAGTTTCTAGCAAATAAAATGTTAGCAATGTTCTAATAATTTGCTACTAAATATTCCATGTAAAATATCATGTAATAGATTGACATCAATTAAGTTTTTTTTACAGAATTTACTTGATTTCCAACAGTTTGCTATCAGTTTATATTAACAGATTCTGTTCTCTTATTCTGTCAGAGTCTGTCAGTAAACTGATAATACACCATTTGACTCTGCTTAAATAGCCTTTTTATGTGATTTATATAATTTGTATACCTCGTTACTTTGTTATATTAGCCAAAGAACAGTCAAAACTTAATAAACATCTTTTTATAGCAAACACTGTGTAAAGTATGTTTTTGACAGATCTAGTTATTTAAGTTATTCCTTACCAAACTTTGTTGTCGGCCATGTTATAAACAATTTATCTGTAGTTTTCTCTAAGGCTGATATAGCTATTAGTTGATTCTTAATTTGATCTAAGTTTCTAACTATGCCATCCTAAAAGTAAAGTTACTTATAGTTATTTATATTAATAAATTACAAATATAATTCTAAATTCAAATAAAACATCAATTAAACCAAAATAATATTAACCTATATCTGTAAAATTGTAAAAACATGAAATAATATAGTAAAAGAACATAAAATATGCTCTTTAAAAAAAAAGAGAAAAATTTACCAGGTTATCACAAATATTTTCTAACTTATCACACAAATCTTGTAAAATCTTAGAATAATTTTTATCATGTTTTTCTTGTGTGATGTCTTTTAAATAAGTAATTCCTTGAATATGAAGATTGTTCCATTGCTGTATATTTGCGTGAATATCTGCAGCTAAATCACGTATACGACGTATGGTTCCTGTTAAATTTCTTCCTTGGAATGATTTAGGCGAAGATAATTCTGTAATAAATTTATTTGAATAAAATGTATCATTTAAACATTCAACTATATTTCTTCGATATTTAATATTTATAAATTCTTTTACGACTAACAATAAAAAAAATTATAAGAATTAATGAATAACTTTACAAGTATATAGATTCCTTACTTATAATTTTACTTTATATTTGTAAGATGTATAATCATACACACACACACATATATATACATTAAGCATAAACTTACTAATAGGAGAAAACATTTTCTTGTAACCATAAAATTAAAATAAAAATATTATTCAATGTTTTCTA